AAAATGTCCATGAATCAGAAATAGTTGCATTTTCCAAACCATTAACCAGCCAGTCCTGGGGATGAGAAGGAGACAAGTGGGAAGGCTTCCTGGAAGACTCCCAAAATTATCTCTAATTACAGTCAGAGTTGGATTCTTTCATTCATTTAGCAAGCATTGGTTAATCTTGCAGGATCATCCCCAATGCTTGTGAGTGCCAGCTACGTCATGGACTATCCTTGGCGCTGGATGAGGATGGAGTGGAGGTCATGTTCTGGTGACACAGAAACAAATCAGACAGCCATGTAGAGAGGGAAAGTTTGTGCAGAGGATAAAGTGGGTGTCACAAGAGAGTGGCTGGAGATGGGGTATCTCCTCCAAAGGAGTATCAGGCTAGATATTTCTTTTTCTTTTTTTTTTTGTCTTTTTCATTTTTATCGGTACCGGGGATCGAACTCACGACCGCCTGCTTGCAAGGCAGGTGCTTATGCCGCTGAGCTAAACCCCTAGCCCCAGGCTAGATATTTCTAAGGAACCCAAAAATATTTAGCAAAATTCTAGAAGGCTAACAGTGTTACAGGCAGAGGGAGCAGTAAGTGCAAAGGCCCTGTGGCAAGAATGAGAGCCAAGGGGATAAAGGGACAAAATCCTCAGCTGAGGTTGGCAGCTATGAGAGCAGGGTATATGAACAAGATGCCTTCATAGGAGAGAGAGAGATGGAACTGGTAAGACCTCCCAATCCATGGGAGATAGTTTGATCTTGTTGAAATGCAAAAGGAAGTCCCCAGTAGGTTTTGTAACAATCCTACCCTCAGACCCTCATGAGCTGGACTCTAAAATAATGCCAGGGTGGGTGAGAATGGGAAGAATCAAAATAGGAACTGAAGCCAGAGTGCTGGTCCATGCTCACCACATGGCTGTTTCTGGCCAGGTGTGTACCAGGTGGCACAGCCCTGCCAAAGGCCACCCACTCCTGGATGCTGCCCTGGGACTCGAACCTCTGTCCAATGGCTGACCACTGCGATTGCTCTGCCTCCCTTGGTAGCCATCTGTGTATGTGGCCAGGAAGTGGCAGAGGAGTTGAGTCCCTGGCATCCTTAACTCCAAGGGGGTCTTCAAGATGGAGCCTGCAGCCCTGATGGAGGGGGACCTCAGTCTCCAGACCTGATTGTCAAGGTGACACATCAGGGTAACGGTGACAGTAACCTCCAGAGGACACGGGCCATCTGTCCCTGGGTTCCCCGCCTTCGTATCAGCTTTGCCTCTGAGAGCCTGTTTCCTGCTGTGTTAGGTGAGAGCTGTTATTCCTACCAAGAAACACTGTCCACCTGGCACAGAGAGCGCGTCTCACGGCGCCCTGAACCAGCTGATCACAGAGCCCTCCTGCCGGCCTCTGCTGCCCCTTCCAGGCTGCCCCGACTCCAGCCTCGGTGGGTCACCACTCCTGCAGCAAGGGGCTTCTCTGTCCTGTTCACGCAGAGGAGAATGAGACTCTTCATTCTCGGCACCGGCGGCCCCAGTGGGCCATTTCACCCCGCTCTCCTCACACACTTGCGTCCTCTGTCCAGGGAGAGGGAGAAAGGGAAATGCTAACTGCAGGGTGGGGAGGAACCATTCTCCCCCAGAGCAGTCTCGGGCTCCACCAGTCCCCTGCTGCTCTGAAACCCATCTGTACCCACCCTCGCCTCAGCCACTGGAGCTGGGCTGGTGGTAACTTGATTTCAGCTCAGCATCTTCCTGCTGGGCAGCTGCAGACCTGAGACACAAGTTGTCCCTTAAATGCACGTGGCCCGCGTCAGCTAAACGTTGTCCTTTGTGTACAAACAGAAGCTTTATTTTCTTCGTCCCCTTGTAAATCATGGTTGCCACCACTGATTGCCATTGATTTCTTCATACACCACTCCTGTTTCCCTCTGCAGCTGAGAAGGGTGGCACCTGTGAAAAATACGGGGATCCTTGGGTCCACTTGGGCAGACACAGCACAGAGACTCTGCCCCAGTTTTAGTGGGTGAAACACAACACTTGATTCAGTGAACAAATGTTCAGTAACTGGCTGTGCTCAGTGGCAGAAATTGTCCTCGGAAATGGGATATAAAATTGGTGAGATTTGGCCCTGCTGCTGAGGAGGTTACAGTCATGAGAGAAGACACATGGACACTCAGTCCAGCCTGGGACTAGCCCAGGGAAGACTCTACCAAAGAACAAGTGATGGGCTGGGGTCTTGAAGGATAAATGGGAGTTTGGAAAGAAGGTGGAGAATAGAAATTCTGGGAAGAGGGAACAGCACTGATTGGTAGGCAGAGACCTGCAAGAGTAAGGCCTCTTCAGAGACTCCCAGAGCTCTTAAGTAAGCTGTGATAGGAGGCAGTCTGCAGAGGTGGGCTGGGATGCAGGACTGGCTGGATCCAGGGCTGTGGGTATGTATTAGGCTGCAGAGAGAAAGTGTGTGCTGTGAGGAGGGCGCCACACCAGGACCCCACAAACGGCAGCATTTAACAGAGAGGAGAGAAAGGAAGGGAGTAGAGAAAGCAGGGAAGGTTGCAGGGCATGGTCAGCCAGGCTCACCCAGGAGAGGCCAGAAAGCTGAAGCTAGGAAGAATTCTTTGTTGTCTGGGGTGGCCAAATAGCCAGGCTGTGTGATTTCTCTGGCTCTCAGACATCTCTTCTTTTTAAGTCCTGTGTGCTGTAGAATTTTCCCCAAACTTCTGAGGGGTCTCCATGGAGCCCAGAATGCGCACCAGTCCTCCCCGCGGGCCTCGGTTTCCTGCCTCAGCCTTCCTGAGAGCTCTGTCCGCCCTGCCCTCCCAGCAGTGGTGGTGTTCCGCTTCCACGAGAGCTCACACTCAGTGCGAGTTCGTGGACGTCTTCACGTCTGGTTGAGTCCCTGCAGACTGTGTGGATGTGTGTTTGACCCTGTGGCAGTGCTTTGCCACTCACCTTTCCAAGTTCTGTGAAGGCCCCAGCAGCACACAGGTGCCCGCGGGCCCTGAGCGGGTCAAAGGCACCTGTTTAGGCCTTTGGAGACTTAGAAATCTTAGCGTCTGGCAGCCCTAACACACTGGTCCTCCCAGCGCTGAAGTTCCCTCACTGGTACAATGGGGACCACGGCAGTTGCTGCCGCTGATCGGTGTCAGGACGTGAGCTGCTGTCACTCACAAGGTGCCCATGATTGAACGGGTACTCAGTGTTCTCATTTTGCAGCAGGCCTTGTGCAATGCGTAGGCCCCTGCAGCCAGCTCACAGGGTCACCTCGAGGAGCCTTGGAGACTGCATGCTGTCCCCATAAGCCCGGGTCTGCCACCTGGCCACACTCTGCAGGGTCACCTGTCATCATGCTGCTTCTGCTCAGCCAGCGCCGCCAGCCATCCTCATTCATTCCTCTGTTTACTCAGCTCCACCGCTGGAATGAGCCATGGGTCCACAGCTCGAAACCCCTGCGGCAGTCCTGACTCTCTCAGGGTCCCTCCTAGCTGTCCTTAGAGCTGCCTTAGAGCCTGTGACATGTGGCCCTGGACCGGGCTCCCCAGGGCCAGCCTGTGTGTCTGTGTTGTCACTGAGCCCTGAGCAACAGTGCCTTTGTCTGTGCCCTGGGGAGTGGACAGGATTATGGTTTGGATCTAAAGTGTCCCCCAAAGCCTTGTATGTTCAGCAGTGGGACTTTTGAAGATGACTGAATCATGGGGCCCTCAGTCTGCAGGACAGGACAATCTGCCTGGTGCGTTTCTGCCATACCTTCTTCATCAGAGGTGTCGGGAAGCCCCTCCCTACCCCCCGTTATGGAACTAGCTGTCTCTTCTTTCTATGCTCACCATGCCTGGGTCTCCCTTTTCTCCTAGCACCTGTAACATGGCACAGCAATCTTCCCCGAAGCTCCAGAGCTCTTGGGGAGCCACTGCTGCCTTGGTAGGCAGCACTAGTGACACCCACGCAGTACCCCTTCCTCCAGGCCCGAGAGTGCCTAGGGGTGCCTGTGTGCAGGTGTCCGCTGGTCCCTGCAGCCTGGACACATGATCGCACTCTGGAGCCTCTGCTGGGTGCAGCCCCCAAGTCTGTGGTATAGTTGTCCGCCACGAGAGCAGCCCTCCACACTTGTCTTGCCCCTGTGAGGCTCCTGCCTGTGGGGCTCAACAATGGCCCTGAGGACACAGCCCTGCCTGAGCTCTTTCCTCCTTGGAGTCCTTGGACAAAACCGGCATCTGACAAGGTCACACATTGGTTATTCAAAAAAAGGCACCACATCACTGAAAGCTTTCCTTGTGTCCTAACGGTTCCCTCCAGGCTCTTTCCTTCTGGAAGTGGCTAGGGATGGCCAAATCACAGCTACCGAGCTACTTCCAGCCACCCACCAGTCATGCTCCAAGAGGTTTGGGATTTGAGTATTTTTCCTGTTCCCATAATAATTATTTTCCCCATTCACTAAAGGCAGCTGGTGGCCACACCTAAAGGATTCTTCAGTGTGGGTTAAAGACATCCTGTGTGCTCATGACACATCTGTCATGACCAACTTCCAACCATAAAAGACAGCATTTAGACCCATGGAATGTGCTTTCCTGAGCACCTACGGTATCCTCCTCCCAAAGGGGGACCACACAGGCACAGCAGAGCTCTGTGCTGTGCCACCTTGATTAACAGAGGTCATTAGTGACTTGGGCTCACCTGCTAATAATACCCAACCTCCCCATTTCCCAAGTGCTTCCTGTGCTGTGCCCCTGTCACACCACAGCAGGTATGGGAGCCACTGGATGGATAATGGATTTGGTTCCCTTGGTGCACACTGTTGAGTGGGTGGACTGGGCCCACACTTGGACATGCTAGGAGGTCTGGGCAACTCTTCTTAGATCTCCAGTATGGAAAAGGGTGGCTGCTGATGTCTGGAAGCTTCTGGATTCCTGAGAGGACCTGGAATCCAGAGGACCTGCTGCGGTTTGTCTCTTGATGGTGGTGCTGGGTGTTTTCTGAACCTTGGGAGCTGCTCCTTATTTGTTGTAACCACCTCTCTCTCTGCTGTGTCTCTTTCCCAGGCACATCTCTCTGACACTCCCTGCCACCTTCCGAGGCAGGAACAGCACCCGGACGGACTATGAGTACCAGCACTCCAATTTGTATGCCATATCAGGTATGCGGGGCCCCTGCTGCGGTCCAGCTGCTGGCTCTGTGTTGGGTGCCACCTCCCCCTCACTGTCTCCTGGTGACACCCATCTGTCTCACCTTCCTTTCTCCCTGCAAGAGGCCTGGACCCATCTCTTCAGGAACCAGACTTTCCCTTTCCTTTGTGTCCCCGCAGGATGTAGAGAAAGGCCAAATACTCAGCATGTTTTGAAACTAATGATGAAAAACAAGGTGCATGTTTCTGAGGCTGGAAGGGAGTTTTCTGGGGAACACTCACCACATCGAGTACCTGCCAGACCAGGGGCCGGGTCTCCCCGGGGGACCCAGAGCAGCACTGAGCTCAGCCGGGGCCAACTTGCCCTCCCGGATCTCAGTCTGTCCTCACCTCTCATTTCTCAGAGCCAGGCTGTGGCCGGAGGGCACACCGCGGTCCCCCTCCGCATGCCTGGAGCATGAGTCTGTGATTTCTGAACTTGGCCTTGAAATTGATAGCGTTACCTTGGCAGGAACTTCATCAGCCCTCGTTTCCCTTTCACCTTCGCCCAGGGAGAGGAAAACTTACCAGCCTTATTACAGAATTGAGATTCATTAGGTGCTTGGCAGCACAGGTGACTTGCTAAGAGCTGGAGAAACCCACAAACTCGCCTCTGATTATCCTGGGCCGCCAGGCAGGGGCATTTGTATATACAAGGGGGAAGTGGCAAATCGGTGCCACTTACCAGCGCACGCCTTTAATGGTGAGTGACATTCTGAACACGGGAACATGGCACTCGTTCATGTACCATAATGAATCGGTTATTTAAAAGGTAATCTTTTTTTCTAAAAATTGCAACTTCAGGTTACTAAACAGATGAAATAGAACAATGGCATAATTCTTGTCAGTATTAGTTTCTCTCGTTATGATCACTCCCTAATAGGTTTGGAAGTATAAGCAAAAGCCAGTTGTTCCATTTCTAGGTGACATTTCTGCTAGGAAGGGAAGGAACAAGGTTGTCCTTAAGCCCCCACCCCACTCGGCTCCAGGAACTGAGGGGAGAGGGGAAAGCGTGTTTGTCTTGAGAAAAGCATCTCCAGGGAGAATTTCTTCTGTGCGTGGCTATTTCAGCAGAGTCGACAGGGAGCATAACAAGTGTGGAAAGATGACCTATTTTGTAGAAAAGCTGAGTATTTCCCCAGATGCTCAGTGGCAGTGTGGTGCATAACAGGCCCGTGAAATCCAGCCGGGCAGCCCTGGTCCTGATACACACAAGGACAGCTCCATCAGACAGACGACTTCTCTTCTGCAGCTTGCAAATCTCTCTCCAGCACAGTGTCAGGCTACCCCGCCATCCCTGCAGTCCCTGATGGCTTTCCCAGCTGTGGCGTTTCTACAGCGAAGGGACCCCAGTGAAAGGAATCTCTAGTCCAGCAGGAGTGTGGTCGTCTGCCTGTGGACCTCTGCTGCCTCGCTCCGAGTCTGTGATGAGGTGTTGTCTGGGTTCATTTCAGCTGTTAGTTTAGCAATACCAAGGTAACAGTATTAAGACACAGGGGAAGCCATTCAGAAACTTCCTGTTATATTAATTCAAGTGGCAGCCCATGGGGCTTTATCTTCCAGAAGTATCGAGGCTCCAGCCCACAGCACAGACAGCTCAGGCTTCTTCCACGGCTGCAGACACCAAATTGCTCGTCCAGGGTCCAAAACTGTTCAGCAGTGATGCTGCCAGAAATAACCCCAAGGGACCCATAATGCATGCAAGCTCAGCACTGGGCAATAAGGGCACAACTGGGAAGCCTGCCCGCCCCTCCACCCGCTGCTGGCAGTCTGCCCTTGCGTCCTTCTGGCTAGGCGGGAGCAGAGACCACGCTCTTACCCCCTACGCGAACAGTACTTGGCACCAAGTGGCACAGCTCAGTGAGTGCTGCGAAGTTAGGTTTTCTGATGTTAATTTCAGAAACAGTTAAGGCAGAGTATACCCAAGGACCCAGCCCTGCCCACGGTCCACACCTGCATAGCTGGAGTTCTACTGGTAATGAATTGAGTCATCCAGGTGTTCTTCTTCTGAACTAACACTGGCACTTTTTTGATGACATATTCTTGTACTAAGACTCTGGTACAAATGCCAAGACACTGGTCCTGCTCCCTTAGTTAATGGTCCCTTCCTAAGATAAGTAAGTTTCCAAACAATATCTTAGAGGTGTGAAAAACTTCCCACTTCAGTGTGTATGTACAGTTATGTGCTTTTAACGGTTTGCTCAGTGGCACGCCTATTAGTGGGCCCCTTTTCTCGGGCATTGCATAATAACAGTTCACCCCCACCATGCCTGCAAAGGGAGAGCCACTGCTCAGAGGTGCTGGAGGTGACAGCAGGGACAATACGCAGCTCTGCCCCGGGCATGCAGAGGCGGGAATGAGGTTAGGGAGGCAGGAGAGTGCTTCGCTCAGCATCTCCCTTGCACAGGAATTCCCTGTAACATCCTGGGGCAGGCAATCACCCTGATTTGCCAGCTGAATGTTTCGGTGTCTGGGGTGACCACCTCCAACCAGCCATTTCCACAAGACCTTCCCTTGGCAAGCTGGACTCTGCCTTCCTGTATATTCCTATTTACCCACTACTTGGGGTATTCTACATTCCACTGGGCAAATTTTCCAGGTGTCCTACATAGTTCAACCAATACTTGGTTCTTGCCTATGAAATCAGAGTAAGAAATTTTCACTGGTTCAACACTAAAATCTGGGTTGAGGATTAAATTCTTGTACCCATTCAAAATGGCCACAAGGCAAACCTCTGAGTCTTACACTTCCTCTTCCACGGGTCTCTTCTAGAAAATACTAGCTGGTGTGGAAAAGATTTGTTAAAGGATGAACACTGTTGATTTTTCAAAATAATACTTCAAAGCCAGAGGTCGAGGGTAAATATATCTTAAATGCCCAAAAGAAAGATAAATGGTTAAATTGTAAAATATCCACCCAGTGGCCTTGACTTTTCAATTATCCCAATAACTGACTTAGATAGAAAGATGCATACGAATATGGGTAGGTGGGGAAAAGGCAGCTGACAAACAAGAATGTTCAATGGGATCTCAGTATATATATGTATATCTCAAGTCTGAAAAGGTCTACACCAAGGTATTTGCAGTGGTTCACCCTGGACTTTCCAATCCTCTTTTCCTCTTTGGTTTCCTTGCCATGACTCATTTTTCTGTAATAGCATGTGTTGCTTTTGTAATAAGAAAAGTACAGACCTGGTGTTAATGTGGCATGTTCTTGGTAAACCCCGCTGCCCCTAATGATCACCCATGCCTAGCTCATAATAGGCTTTAGGATTTTACTGGAAATCACTTCCAGACCACAGATCGATCATTTTCTTATTGTCCGTCTTCTGAAAATATAGTTTATTTCCTGCCATTCAGCCCCTTGAACCTCTCTCTGTTCACTCGGGTTGCTCCATGATCCTGACTGCCACTTCCTCTCACAGTTTGCTGGCCCTGCACACCCAGCTGTCCCCACCTCTCTTGCTCTGCATGTCCTGCTTACTGTGTTAGGGTTTGGAGCGGCTTCCCCAGAGGAGCCCTCTGCCAGCACCCACCCACAGTCTATGCTATTACCTACTAGTGGAGGGAGATGTTAATCATTGAGAAAAAAAATATCTAGTGCCATACAACAATGACAGGAATCCAAATAAAGTTTTATTGGATCCCAGCACACCTCTTCCTCTGCACCGTTTGCAGCTGCCTTGCACCGCAGGAGCAGGGTCCTGTTGGCGGCACGCTGTGGCCTGCAAAGCCAGAAATGCTCAGTGCCCGACCCAGCTGGGCCTCTGCCGTCAACCCTAGTGTAGGCGCCGCTCTCCCTTGGTCCACACTTCAGTGCATCTTTCTCCCCTTATTATAGGTAAGTGGCAGCTCTTATCTGCCAGGCTGGCGCTTCCCCCTGCTGCGCCTCACAGCTCTGTGATCTTGGGGGGCTGTGCTCAGCGGGTGCTGATTTCTATAGATTGTACCCAAACTGCCCTGAGTGTCCTCCTCTGGACTCTTCCTAGCTGCTGGTTTTCTTTTTAAGAATATCTTGTCTTTCCTGAGATGTCTTCTATTTTGGTCCCAGACAGACTTCTTTTCCTGTCTTAGAGTTCTTGCGTGGATGTCTGACTGACTTCTCATTAGCTTCTATTCACCTGTCTCAGACAAGCCAAGGTAGCCCCCACGTACATATCTATGTTTAAAGTGAAATAGGAACAAGAGAATGCATGAAAGAGAACAGAGGAGCAGGGGATAGCTGTATGCAGGGTCTCTGCATTGATTCTGCATCTAAGACAATCTCTGAATGGAGGAGCTGAAACAAGCTAATTACTTGGGAAGAAGATAACTGCTCCTTTCACTGACCCTGGGAAACAGCCCCTCCTGGAGAAGAGGCCCTGGGTCTATTGGCCCGCCGTGGTGCGGTCCTTGGAAAGCCCAGTGGAAGGAGTAGAAAGTCTGTACTGTCCAAACATGTGCTCTGTTTTCAGATGGGTTCATTCCTTCAGTTCTGTCCCTGTCCACATTCTATTCCTGACAAATCATAGTCCCACAGATGCGTATTAAAGCTCATTAGTGTATCCAACAACGTTGTGCAAGTATGTGGGTGAGAGAACTATAAATATTTATAACCTGGAAAAAAAAAAAAAAAAGAGGGCTTTGTAAAGTGCTGTGGAAAACATAACATTCCAGCAGTGATGACTGTGAGTTTGATAAAAACAGTCTATACCAGCACCTGGGAGGCTGAGGCAGGATGGTCAAGGCCAGCCTGGGTCCAGTAGTTCAAGGCCAGCCTGAACACAAAGGGACATAGTGAGGCCCTATCTCAAAAGAAATCAAACACAGCCGGGCATGGTGGCTCATGCCTGTAATTCCAGCACTCGGGAGGCTGAGGTGGGAGGATCCTTGCGAGTTTGAGACCAACCTGGGCTGCAAAGTGAGCTCAAGACCAGCCTGAACTGCATATCAAGACCCCATCTCAAAAAAAAAAAAAAAAAAAAAAGAAAAGAA